AACACTATTTATGTTTAGCATCACTTACCTACTACTCATCACTTACCGTTTACATTTAATTATATTAGTCATGTCTTTCCACTCCTTTTCCTTTACACCATTTCTTCATATTGAAGATAAATATGATGGTGTCAATAACTTTGACCCATCTGGAACATCAGAAGATACTTTTAACCTTTTAGCTGATAACACACAATCATTTGTTTTAAATGAGAAAGAGTCTTTAAGTGAGTTTTTTGAGAATAACTAAGAAGAAGTTGAAAATATTGAACCATTGTACTCTGTTACGCCAGATATGACTTTTGCAAACTGGAAAAAACTTGACGAGTAAGTATGCTAAGAAGTTATGTCATATTATTTATACCTGTATAATAATATTAGAACTTTTTTTGTTTTATTAAGATGGCTTGAAAATCATGAATTAGAACAAGGCTTTGCATTTACGATTACCCATAGTGATAAAGATAAGGATGATGATTTTCCTTGACGTCGTATTTATGCATGCTCAAAAGGTCGAATATATAATCAACAAAAAAAAGCATATACAAATAAAAATCGTAACAGAGGACATAATACAAACAATTGCAAGTTTTATATTAATGCTTACCGTCGAAAAAAGGACAATCTCATTTATATTACAAAGGTTGAAGGTAAGCATAATCACGAATTAGTGGAGAATATTAGAATGGTTTCCCCTTATTATTATAAGCTTACTCCAGAAATGCGTGATGACATAGCACTTCTCGCTACTTGTGGAATGCATGCTGATGCAATTATTGAAGTTTTGCAGTATAAATATCTAGACAAATACATTCATTTCTGTAATGTTTATAATTTGATTCAAACAATCTGACACAAAAATTAAACTATAAGTGATGCTGGTTCGATGTATCTTACACTTATGAATCAGCAGTAGGAAAATCCAATATTTCATGTTGATGCACGTTTTAAAGGTCAGGATAATCATCTTGTTGGACTTTGTTAGATGCGTCTAAGCCAACAAGAATTGTGGGCTCATTTTCATGATATAATTTACTTGATACAACAGCAAAAACAAATCGTTATTCAATGATTTTGTATGTTGTAATATTGGTAGATAATCATAATCGCTCCTGCCTTACAGCAACCGCTATAGTGTCAGATAAAACAAAAGACACCTTTCATGGTTATTCACGAGTCTTTCCAAAGCAATGGGAGGATTAACACCATCCTTACTTTATACAGATGCTGATCCTGCGATGATTGCAGCAATAAACAGCACCTGAAACATCATTTTTGTTTATTTCATATTAGAAAAAACTTGGAAAAGCATTTTCTTAGCAAGTATCGTGATGAAAAATGGAACAAATTTTTTGCAGCTTTTTGTTATGCATGCAATAGTCGAGTTGAATCAATTTTTGAAGAGAGATGGGCTGCATTGTTGCAGGAATATCCTGATGCCACTAGTTATTTGCAACATTATCTTTATTCATGTAGAGAGGATTGGGTATTGTGTTTTACACACCATGCATTTAATGCTGAAATACAAAGTATACAATATGTAGAGTCATACAATAGTATTATTAAAAACAATGTTAACAGGTCATCTTCACTTACGGAGCTTGAGCATACAATTAAGAGGTTATTAGTAAAAGAGAGCAAATTTATAAGTTAAATGAAACCATTGGTAAGCTTCCTGTGAGTCAAGATGAAGATTATCATAATCATTACTTTAAAGAAGTTAATATATCATGTTAATATTTCTTAACACTGGCAATTCTTAAACTCCAACGACATGAAATGAATCGCAGCATGCATTATCGATGTCATCTATCTAATTTGGAATATGAACTTAAGCAACAGATATAGATCAGATTTTATGATTATAATTACTTATGTAGGTTACAGTATATTTTTCCGAAGGCCATTTTCCCAAAAGGACATTTTCCCAAAAATCTTAAATAGAGTTACTATAATTAGACTGAATTTTTTGGGAAAATGTCCTTTCAGGAAAATGGCATTCAGGATAATTTCTGACATCCTCATGCTTATATATGGTTAATTGTTTTTTTTTAGATAACTGTTGAATCACCAAGAGGCATGTTTTCTGAAGATATGTTTGATACATATGTGATAGAACTCATGCAGTTAATTGTAGATTTAGATCTAACAAGAATACGTGAACTTTAGCGTATTTCTTCTATTAATAAAAAAAGCAAGCATTTTATTGTATTATATGATAATGCTATACATCTGTGTACATGCTTGACATTAATTAATCATAGTCTTGTATGTCATCATTTTTTTGCAACAATGTTTGTTTCTTCAATTGCTAAATTTCATATTGGACTTTTACCACGACGTTGGTATACAAATGTATCAGTTATGGAGGCAGATTCAACACTTTCAAACATACCAGCAATTTCATTGTTATCAAATAATGGATTTGGTACAGTAGAACATGCAGTAGAACTGGATTTCTCTTATTTAGAAAGCATCTGTGGATGTCATGTTTTTACTAAGGAGATTCACCAAGAAATGACACAAAAACAACAATGGGAAAAAGGGTTTGGATTAATGAAAAAAACACTTAATTTAGCAATTGAAACAGGCAGAATAGAAGAGCTTTACAAAATACATGATAAGCTTATTAAAGAGATGGAATCTGAAGTGACTCAAATTGTGCAAGGTAATGAAACTACTGAATTTGCTTGTACTATTAGCAACCCAATCAGTATTAGAAAGAAAGGTCGAAAGCCTAAAATGTGAGTGGAAATTATAAAGGCAAAAAAAGACAAGTGATTGAATGTAATCAGAATAAAGAAAATAGCATTTATGATAATGACCATGGAGAATTGCCACATAAAAGGCTTCAAAAAGCATTACAAGATAATTTAAATACAGGTATGTGTAAGTTTTAAATTTTTATCGTTTATCATATAATTTCATATTTGTTAACATTTCTTTTATTTAGTGAATTTGGAATTAAATGAGAATGTAGAAGGCGAAAGTAGTAAAAGCACATTTAGACGATGTGGAATTTGTAGCCAAAAAAGCCATAATGCACGAACTTGCTCAAATAACAATTGAGTCAAGAACTAAATTTGTAGCTTATTAGTACTTTGTTTTTATTTTTTAATAAAGATCACTTTAATGTATGCATTGAATACTTTTTCTGATTCCAATCGATACAAAAATTTTACATGCATATTTGAAATTAAATGATAAAGTACAATAGATCGAAATAAAATGATGCCTTATATATATATGAAGCTAATGATACCTATTGCATTATTTGCTAAACCCATTGCACTATCTACCTATTGTATTACTTACTAATCACTGGCGCTCTCGATATTTCGAAACCTTGATAAGTCAGACTATAAGTAAAAAAAAAATTTTTAAATTATAACAGTTACACCAATTAAAATATTTCCGCATAGACGCATAGAATTTTCCATCCATTATATGTCTAAAACAAAAAAGACTAGTGGTATCCTTTATACAAAAACCATCCCAGACGAATATTTTACTTCGATCCTTTGGCATTAGACGAACTGGCCTTTCGTTCTTATACCAATGTTTTATCATGTTACAGTATAATTGGAAAGCCGTTTCGTCACTAAATAAGATCTTTTTCTAATCATCATCTTTATATTTTTAGGCCCATTCAACACGTTTTTGCTTATGGGCTGGTGTTAACATTAGTGTATAAAGGAGAAGTACATTTCGATATCCAAGGTCAGCAAAATACCTCGAAACTGTTAAGCGGAAGACATTTACTCCAATATCTTCCAATTTAGCAGCAGCAGACTTGATAGAAAGTGAGAGTCCCTTCAAATATACTGTCCAATTACCCGGAATGCACTTGATGTTATTTTTTTAATATGTTCACTACCACTTTTATGTTTAACATACAAGTAACTTTAATTTTTTAAAAGTTTCAGTGAAATCTTTGTCAATGAGTATTTCAGTAACATTGCAAATCCCTATGACGCGTTTAGATGATGCTAAAGCTTATCGATAGAGTATCATAAGGCTTATTTTATGCATATATCAGTTACACTTGTCGATCTTTTTTTAAAAATTCTGATATATTAAGCTTCGATAAATTCCTTCGTATTACTAAATAATATCAATAAATCATAACACATAAATTTTGAAATCTGAGTCCAAAATATTAAGACCGCTTATATATTACATCTATTATATTATTTTTTAATCGCTATATCTATTACATTTGGTTTTATTGATTACTAGAAAAAAAAACTATAGTAAATTGCAATATTAAAAAAAACAAATTTGAGGTGTCAGACACCAGTGGTTTTGAGCACCAGTGGTGTGGTTTAGTAAAGCCGTAAATATATATTATATTATACTTTTTTAAATTTAAATTATTAAATATATTAATTTAAAATAAATAAAATGTCTTTTATCAGCAACTTTTACCAATTTTTTCTAAAAAATTAAATAATTTGATTAAAAATGCAAAGTTTTAATTTGCCATAATAATATTTGAATATGAATATTTTAATATTAACTAGATTAATTATTATCAAACTTTAACTAGTAGATTTTATAGATTCTTAACTTTTAAATAAATCTAAATTTATTAAATTCAATCATTTAATCTAGAGATATTTGTGAAAAATAAAAAGCAATTATTTTGAAATTTATTATAAAAGAATCTTAAACAGGTATAAATACTAGAAATAAAGTAAAAAAATTATTTAAAAAGTAATAATACTGAATTCTAATATTAGTATCTGAGAATCTAAAAGAAGTAAGAAAATTATATATTAATATATAAGAAAATAGGCTTATTTATAAGTCTTCAAAAATAATTATTAAGCAAAATTACAATTTAAGATATACTAAAAAATTTTAAAATAAGCCAAAATTTATTAAAATTAAATCATATGAAATTGTAATAACTTTAAGTGTTAGTAAAAAAATAAAATGTAAAATTCTGATTTGTTATAATAAACTATAATAATAATAATAATAATAATAATTTTAATATAAACTAGAATAATTTCTATCAAACTTTAATAAGCTATTTTAATAGATTCTGAACTTTTAAATAAGTTTAAATTCATTAAAATCTAATCATTAGATTATAAATTATTTAAGAAAATTATTTTAAAACTTATTATAAAAGAATCTTAAACAGATGTAAATATTGGTACAGTCAACTCTTATTATAACGAACTCTATGTCCTAGAACTCAACTTCGCTATAAGGCTATAGTGAAGATTTTAAGAGATTTGATTGGTCAATTCGCTATAACAAGAGTATTTTTATTATATTTGT